ACCTCGTCCTCCCGCAGCACCCAGCGGGAGCCTGGGATGCCTCAGAAGCAGCAGTCGCACCCCTGGACTATCCCTGAGCCTCCTGCCCCTTGCTCCACCAGCCAGTCACACTCCTGTTCTTGGCACAGTCTCGTTACTCATCATATGCTCTGCTGTGGAAAGCCCTGGGGAACCCCAGCAGAGCCCCATGTCTGCTCTGAGGACATCCCCCAGGTTGTTCCCACGTAGCAGAGGCCATCCTACACCCAGCATGGGTCTGTCCAGGCTGGCACTTTTAATCCCTACAGTAAGTCCACACACATGCTACTTGCTGGTGGTACATCAAGCATTCAAGGCTCAGATGCTTCAATGATGGTGTAAGCTGGGTGCAAGATCCCTACAGATCCCAGGAACCAGGGTGGAGAATGATCCACAGCCACTGTGCTCCTGTCCAGGCCAGCTCAGGTTGCTCTGGGCCTTGCCCAACTAAGTTTTGAAGATCTCCAAGGGTGGAGACCTGGATGCTGTGCAAGGATGAACAACTCTAACAGGGGAAAATTTGTCATCTTCAATTTATCTGGAAGTTTCCTTGCTGCAGCCCATGTCTGCGGCCTCTCGCCCTTTCCCTGTGCTCGCCCAGAAGAGCCCAGCTCCAGGGTCCCTGTAACCCCTGTGGGCAGCGGAAGGTGCGACCCGATCCCCCTCCACCTCCTCCAGGACGAGCAAACCCAACCCATGGTGACACCCAGGTCCGTGCAGGACAGCGGGAGTGAAGGTTTCCTAGAGGACAGTGCACGACAGGGCACAACTCCCAGCCTGCTGCCTGGGTATCAGGACTGAGCTGAGACAGCCTCCTGTAAACACAAACCTGTGGGGTTTTTTTGGGTTGTGGGTTTTTTTTAAATTTAAATTATTTTAATTCAGGATTAGGATGCCTGTGCCCTCCTTTCAGGGAAAGGAGGTCAGTCACAGGGCAGCCTGGGTACGTGCAGGCACTGCCCGGTCAAGGAGCAGAGTTAAACATAGCATCCACCCCGTCACGGTGCCACCAGACGCCGAGCCAGCAGCTCTGCCCCTGCTGCCAGCTCCCTGCCCGGCAGGGCCCCGGCACGCTGCGCTCTCCACTTTATTTCTGGGTCACCAATATGCAGATGGGGCATTTTTCTCCGAGTGATTCAGCAGAAAGCTGTCCTCAGCCCGATTCCCTGGTTCCCTTGGGGTACTCTGTGCTTCCCAGAACCCGGCACCCCTAGGGGAAATTAGGATGCTGTTCTCCGCCTCGCCCCTCACCCGTGGTCAGCGCTGCAGCACACAGTGGGGACGTCCTGGCTCCGGCCCAGAGCAGCACTGAACCACGCTTGGCCTCGTCCTTCTGCTGACAACAGACACACGTACCCGCCCAAGCACAGCGGAGCCGTCGTCTTCCCTACAACACTGACTACCGCCCGTCTTCTCATACCATTACGATAATTAGTAGCTGACACAGATATTCCTCCTCCAGGGGCACCTCCAAGTCTGAGGAACGGCCTTGCGTGACCACAGCAGGAGACAGAGCACCATGGCAAAGCACCAGCAAGGACCTCATCGCGTCCCATACCAGCACCCTGCGCAATAAAACCCTCTGAAAGGCGCAGGCTCCGACGCAGGCATTTTCAGGCAGCCCTGCCGGCACCCCGATCTCTCTGGGGATGCTCAGAAGCACCTCTCCAAGCCCTGGGAAAAGCAAAACTCCAAGCTGTCCTCAGCCAGATTTCCCATTCCCCCTGGGGTGCTCTGTGCTTCCCAGAACACAGCACCCCTCGGGGAAGTCAGGATGCTCCCAAAGAGGCCACCGCGGGTGCCGAGGGCTCTTTCGGCAGGCGCTGCGACACCAGGCTGCTCCCGGCAGCCACGGCAGACCCCAGGCTCTCCTCCCCAAACACCACCACCGAAAAAAGCGCCCTCCCCTCGGGGAGGATGGCAAGATTTGCTCGGAACATGCACTCACCGGCCTTGCAGCTGCAGCCAGCATAGAGGTAGCCGTGTCTTCTCAGGAGGCTGCACTGTCCGTACGGCCCACAGTCATTGAAGCAGGGGGTGAGGTATGCGAAGACGGTCACTTTGGCTTCTGCGGCGTTACATTCACTGCAGGGAGAGCAGGTCGCGTTGGCACCCCGGTCCTTCAGGGCAGCCTCGTGCCCAGGGAGCGCTCTGCTCCGCAGGGTCAGGCCACGCTCCTGCATGCAGGCTCCCCACTATTTCGGAATCTGCTCCGTCTCTCCCAAGGGCTACGAGCAGAGTCGTCTCCCTCTCCACTCGGACTGCCAAACCGATGTGCAGGCAGGTGCCAGCTCTCCCCAGATCCCCCCAGCGCCCACGACTGGTCCTCAGGACCAGCATCGCCAGCACTGTTTTACAGCACGCTCGGCCCCTTACGCAAGGAACCAGCAGGAAGGCAAACCGCAGGAGTACGGGCACAGCTGCCTGCATCTCAGAGACCCATCGAAGGAGTAACAGCAGCATTTTTCATTTACCAATTCATCACCTCAAAATCCACCTGGGGAAGGGGAAGCTCCTCCGGGCAGGCTCTGCCACGTGCAGGCAGCACGAGATGTGCCAGCTCGGCACCAGAGAAGCTGCTCGGGTGCTCACGAGAGAGCAAGGCAGCGCTGCCACCCACATCCTTCCCCCTCCGCAGCCACAGCTGTACTGCTGCCAGGCGAGACGAGCCCACGGCCCAGCGGTGAGGACAGATTTGCTCACACTAGCCAAGGGCAGCGGGATGCGGAGGCAGAGTGCTCTGAACCGGCCCCGAGGCGGGACGACAGACCAGACTCACCCCTGGCCCTTCGGGCAGAGGAGCTCCAGGGAGAGGAACCAGTCATCCGTCTGTGGGTACAGGACAATCAGCGTTGCTTCCACAGAGGACGTGCTCACGCTCAGAGGGTAGCCCTGGAAAAAAGCTTAAAGAAAAGAGGGTGCTGTGGTGTGCCAAGACTAGGGGAGAAGAGCTCCCAGCAATCTCAGGCTGAGACCGATTGCACAGGAATTGCACAGGAGCCACCTCCTGTGGCTCCTTCCTCTCATCCTCAGGAGGTACCAGGGGGATGGAGAGGACCCTTGCTCCCAGGACCCTTGGTTTTCCTTTCATCTCAGCTCTCAGTACCTGCCTAGACAGCACAGGGCATCTGGAACAGCCTGCTTGCTTGGCTAGTCCTCCAGGGCAGAGCTCTGCACACCAGCGATGCCTTGACCATCCCCAAACCTCCTGCCAACAAGGCTGGAAGAGCCCCAGCTGGTAACCAGACCTTCCTTTGGTGGAGGCTAACTCCCGGTGCACCCCAGCACGCTGGGCACATGCCAACACAAAGACCTCAGGAGGGTTTGTGCTAAAATCAGCTTCACTGGGACACCTCAAAAAGTCCCGAGTGAGTTAACAGCTCACGAGGTCTAAGGGCAAAGCCCGGAGCTGGCATCGGGCGCCAGCGTCTCTCATACCTGTGCTGCAGTTCTGCGTGGCATTGAGGGACAGCACCGGCGAAGCAGCACTCACACACGCGACCACGGTGGCATTGGCCAGGCCCACGGACGTCTGTGCAAACAGAGCAGCGTCCCACGTTAGAGCGCCCCGATGCCACCCCCCTGCACGATTCATCTCCCACGCTGCAGGAGCGGCAGGCCACAATAACTCCTGTGGATCAAGGTCACCCGTCAATTCAGCCAAATTTCTGGGCAAACCTGTGCTTGCCTCACCCTGCACTGCCGTCACGTTCCATGCCGGCTGAAAGGCAAGAGAACCTCCCGGGGACTGCCCCAAAGCTGGGACACTCACACATCGCTTCAGCACGAGCACAGGGTGGCAGAAGTCAGAGGCAACAGGACACCAGGCTAAGCCCTGCTCCCACCCTCAGGAAGTTACACAGAATTTCAGGGGGCTGATTTCTGGGGTGTCACTGAAGGAGCCCAGGAATCAGCAACTTGGGCAGAACATCCCTGGGTTTCCCTGCTCAGTCTCCTCTCCTGGTGGCAAGGCGCCAGGCTCCCGTGGAGAAGATGGCGTTGCAGCTGCTTTCCATTTCATCTCCTCTGCGTCACTGCCACCACATGCCAGCAAGCTGTGGCATTTGAATTGGAGCTGGCAGGTGGGACATGCTGGAAGTGGCTAAAACAGGCTCGGAGTATGTTGTGACAACAAAGAGAAAGAGAAATAGTCCCACTGGTACCTACAGCCCCTGGAGTTTGCTCACAAACCAGCCCCGCAAAGGGGAGACAATCCCGTCGATCCGCCTCCGCACCTTGTTAAGCAGGAGGCTGACCACGAGGGAACCCCCGCTGTCCATGCCAGTGTTCAGGCTGAGGAGGAGGACGGTCGGGGAGAGGGTGTTCACGGGCACGCTGGGACCGTTCAAGAGCCTGTAGCGCACAGACACCACATCCAGGTCTTCACGAACGACGGGCTGGTTCTGCAGACAGAAGCTCCTCTGGTTGGACGCGTTGCGCAAAGCCTCTCTGGTAGTCAGAGCGGAGCTCCCTGCCGCTCCTGTGCTACCCGGTCTGGGACCAGTTTGGCTCTGGTTTAGGCTGCTGAAGTTAAGGAATGAACTGGTACTTCCCGGTCTGCAAGCTGTAAAGCAAAAAAGGAGAGGAATCAGCACGGCCAGGACCAGCAACTCCTCCAGGGAGGGCCCCAGCAGCTCCAGACCCTCAAGTGACAGCACAAACTGGGGGTATTTCAGCTGGTTCATGCACTGCAGGATTGGTTACAGCTCCTGAAAGGCACCGTCTTTGCAGGGGGAACTCTAACATCAGCATCCACAAGTTGGGACACTGACGGAAGCCAGATGGTGGTACAGTGGGTGGAAGCACCCTGGAGCTGCGGGGAAGGGAAGAAGGGATAAGGCACAGCATCATAACACATCACATACCCAGGGAGTACTCGCTAGCCGTGGCGGAGCACAGCACTGAGCTGTCCCATAACCATGGCCTGCATGAAAGTCTCTACCAGTCCCCCAGACACCAGCAGACTGGGCTGAGCAGAAGAGAGAAGCTAACCCAACGTAGCTACGGGCACAGGCCATCATGCCGCGGCAGACGGAGCTAAATGTGACACTTGGAGTTGCGCTGCTGGAGCCTGTCCATCGCTCCCAGAGACACTAGTGCTCCCTCTTAACACATGCAGGCCCTCCAGCACACGGGACGAGGCTCTGCTTTGAGGAGGGGATGGCAGAACCCCCAGCAGAAGAAAACTTTAAAAATGTACCTAGTTGGTGAGCTTCCAAGAGTCAAACAGGGATTATGGTCACGTAATAAGAGGATGCAAAGGTGCCTATCACAGCCGCAAGAACTTGTGACTTCCTGAGTCACAAGGTGTCACCTGAAATGGTGACATCCCCTCACTACAGCCCAAGATATTACCCCAAGTAAACCTCTGTGAGATGGTTTCCTGTCTGTAGCCTGCTTATGGCCAACTGATAGTCAACCTATCATTACAGTCCGGTGCATCTATCCAAAACTATTCTCCCCACCAGCTTTTAAGCCAACCAGTGCTTCCCAAACAGCCTTTGGAAAATACAATTGCTTCAGAGATCCCAAACTTTTCAGGCATTTCCAAAACAGGCAGCTCCAGGGAGCATCCCTCTTGGGTGAACACTGGAACCTTCGCTTTTGACCCCAAAGCAACAACAAGGCCTCAGCCCCCAAGGTTATGCCCAGGCAACCAACATGCTGAGGAACCCAGGCCAGCACAGCCAGCCACCCAAAGGCCCAAGAGAGACACAGCAGACACAAAGTTCCCTCTGGTCCTTCCCATAGGGCTAGAGAAAGCGGAAGCTCACCTGTGAAAGAAGCCAGCATCTCCACCGACACACTGGCATTGGCAGCGCCGAGACTCTCCACCATGATCTGCAGCCACTTCTCCCAGGGGGGCGAATCCAGGGCCAGGCTGCAGTTTACGTTCCCCGTGCAGGTGATGATCCTCTGGAAGGACTGGGGCAGCGTGATGGAGCCCAGCACTACCCGCACGGCACACGCTTTCTGTTCGCTCGTCACGCAGCTTCGCAGCTCAAACCGCATCCCTGCGGCATGCTTGGGAACAAAGACCCTGCAGGAGGAGGGACCAGCAGTTTGCAGAGCTTCTACTCTCAACAGAAGCCAGCCCACCGCAGTCCCTGGGGCTTTGTGGCAAGAACTAGATTGCTCTGGTCGGTGTTGTGAAAATCCTTCCCAAGGGAAACATCTCAAAGAACTAAAATTCCCGCAGCTGAACCTCTAAGACCACCTGGGAAGAGTTGGATAAGGGCACTCGTGCGCTCCCCATGCAAACCCAACCACTGCTGCAGGGAGCTCAGCAAACAGGCTCAGAGAACCCCCCATGTGCAAACAACAGTGGCTTCCCCTAAGCAGCACCCGTGGGAAATCCCACTCCCCCACGTCTTTCCATCCGCTGCCCTCACTCACTTGACATGCAGTGGCTTAGCAGGCGAGACGACGGTTTGTGGCATGGCAACACCAGGCTCCAGAACAGGCATATCGGTGAGCCTGAGCACAAACATATCTGCCTGGAACATATAGGGGCACGGAGTGGAGAAACCCTGCAGGAGGGGAGAGCAGACGGGTCAGCTGTGACGAGACACACCGGGCAGAGTACGATGGCCGAGACCCTCACCAGGACCCTCACCTTCACTTCAATCCTGCCAGCAGCCTCAGGGAGATGGGCAGCGATGAACCAGGCTCCGGCAGCGGGGGTGGTGACGTTCACAAAGGTGGTGTTTTGCACAGCACTGCTCAGAGTGATGCTTATGTTATAGGAAGGACGGACGGTTGCATTTGCAGGAAAACGAGTGCCCAGTGGATTAATTACAGGAGGGGCTCCATAGCGAAAGTGCCTGCCAGAAAAAACAGAATGAGAATAAATTGAGGGATGTAAAGACACTGGCAAGACAAACTGAGATACAAACTCATCAGTGAACACCCAGGTTGGCCTGGGATGGGAGAGGGAGCAGGCTGGAAAAACCTCATGTTTTCAAGTGGACCACAAGAGCGATCGTTTTCATCTGGTGAGGACTGGCTGCTATTAGCTTATCCAGGATTTATTTAGAGATTGGTTTAACTTGGCTGCTTATTAAGATAAGGATTTACATGGTTCCATCAAGCCTGAAAGCAAATTTCCACACTTACTAAAGGTTAAGCCCCAGCCTCAAGACTACTCCTTTTTTTATAAGCATCAGCAAATTCCCCATCTAGGCTAAATCATCAGCAAAGAGCTTTCATTTCCCAGCTAAGATCCGCATCTTGCCTAGTTCCTCTTAAGGAGGGTGGGCAGACAGACTGAAGAAATGCTCACCAGGGAGGGCCCATGCCGGTTTCAGTATCCCAGCACTTCTGCTCTCCAGATAAGCAGCCCCATGTTCAAAGCAGCAGAAAAGCAGGCAGCTAAGCAATACACAGGATATTTATTCAGGCAACCAATTTGGCATTTAATTTGCTCGCTTTGGGACTGCTAGAGCATTGCAACAGAACAACGGAGGTCCAGCTAGCAAGCGTGACAGGTGATGTGTTATCAACCTGTTTGAGCTTAGCTGGGCTGGTCTTCATCTCTTAGGGTATCGTTTAGCTGCTGCCTTGTCCCTCACATCCCCACACTACTGGAAACCTTTCTGGGAAGTAGAAAGTAGGAAGATCATCTGTACCAGGCTGCTCTGGAGCAACTAAGAGCACCAGTCTGTGCCCAGGACAGACCAGGGAAGCGCAAGCCAAGCGGCAAACTTCAGTCACCGCCAAGACCTCTGTGGAGCGGGTGCCAGAGACCCACGTGCCTCCAAGGACACGATCTGCCCAGGAAACTTTGGGCCCTCCCAAAAATACAGCTCAGAGTCTCACCCCACCTGCATGTGTTTGACCTCAAATCCCCCAACAACTCAAGTACTGCTTTAAGCTGTGCTTCTTTCACTGGCACTGAGTTTGCAATCTTCTCATGCTCTTGTGTCTGCAGGACTCAGCATTCCTCTCCTATCTCTGCTCCACACAGAGCCAACATCTCTCAAGAAGTATCCCCAGTCTCTTCAGTTCCTCTGTACAGGGGAATTTGTCCGTCTCCAACCGGTTTGGGTCCTCTCAAGCCCCTTGCAGTTCTGCCACATCCTTTGGTATCACGCATAGGATCCTGCCAGGCACAGAAATGTCCAGGAACACCTTTGCTCAGGAGCAGCACCACCAGTCTCACTGTGAAGCCCTGTCCAGTGTTCCTAAGGCGTCTCTTAGACGTCACGTCTGATAAGACAGCCCCAGACCCACTGGTAACGTGAACACAAAATGCTCCTACAGGTTTAAACACAGATTTTGTGCCAGTACGTTAAGAAACTATGGCTGCTGCAACGGGGGAACAGACACCCAGCCTCCTACAACCAACCAACCACAGCCGTGAGCAGCAAGGACAAGAGAAGGACAGGAAGCCCACGTGGGCCAGCACTGGCACAGGGACATACGTACACTGTGATGTCCATGTTGGTGCACTCGGGTCCTTTCCCCCGGGACGCTTGCAGGAGCCAGCGAAGCAGCACAGTGTCTTCCGGCACATGGAAGTGGAAGAGCTTGGCGTTCCCATACCAGCTGTAGAAGGACAGCTTCTGCGCGCTCTGAGAGAAGTACTCGGAGACATACAGGGAGTCTGAAAGGGAGAGAGCACAGCAGTGGCTGGGGCTGCAGGGCTACACCCGCCCACAGCAGCTTTAAGGTTGCTGGAGAAGAGCCCTTGGCGTCCCTGATTTCTCATCCCTGTCCCACTAGATACGTGGCGATCCACGTTGCTCCTCCAGCCAGAACCACCCACACCCCTGCACCAAAACTGTCACCTGGAGCCAGAAAGCACTAAAAGGTGCCTTAACTATGCTCTGCGAGGTGTGCTCCGAGGATGACAGATCACCAGAGACACTGAGGAGGAGGTCAGGAGGAAACGTTGATGGCACAAGAAAAGGCAATGGAGTGGGCAGCAGCAAGCCCTGGGGCAAACGGCACAGAGCAGATGGGCGCAGGTAGTGCAGGGGCGCTCTGGGCCCCAGCAGCGGTTTGTGGTACCAACAGGCAAGAGCTGTGCCCTCGTCCGTCTCTGCTGAGCGCATGGGCTGATGTTATCGGTCTTACCCAGCTCAGGAAACAGGTACTGCACAACATGCTGCCTACCTGTGACACGCAACGTGATGAAAATTCATGCGCTGCAAACCTAACTCTGCTTTCAGACATACCTGCCAAAGTCTAAAGATTTCCCTACCTGGAAGAAAGGCTGCTGGGATAGCGAGAACAGCCCCAGGGTAGGCTGAAAAGCCACGCAAAAGGACAACAGCTATTCAGTCCAAGTGCCATCAGGACTAACTAGATCCTCCATCCATCCATCCATCCACCCAGCTGTGCCTAGAGATCACCCCCAGCCTGCTGATAATTTCACCTGCAAAATTATATTACGTTATTGTCAGCAAGAAGCCAGCCAGACTGCAACTCAGGGACGGAAAGGAAACATCACAGCGGGGGACAAAACCGCATGGAGATGGCAGAGCCAAGGCCGTGCCGCCCACCCGAAAACAAGGTTGATAACAGTCAGCAAGGGGGTAGAAGAAGATGTCTTCACATCTCTGACAAGTCCTCCCAGATGCTCCTTTCCTACTCTGGAATTCCCTGGAGTGGGGAGAAACCGTGGCACCTTCCAGACGCAGATTCTTCGTTTCTACCAGAGAATAAAGCAGCAAGCACAGTTTAACTTGCCTCTCTCCAACGCTCCACAGGGTCGTGTTGGAAACACAGAGGACCCGACTGAGTTTAAGAAAGATGCCAAAGAAAGAGGGAAACAGCGCTCAGGGAGGGCCAGAGCCTTGGGATGTACTTCATACCAAGAGGAACCTAATCCTAGCAGGAACTACGATTCATGGCCCAAAGCAGGAGGCACGCCGGCCTGCACCCACAGCGCTGGAAAGAGACAGGAACGGTAATCAGGGGTTTAATTCCCTGGCAAATTACCAAGCCTAAGCCTCCGGGCACCCTGCAAATCCATCAGGGAAAGGAGGAAACAGGAAAGCAAGAAATACCAGCCATGCAAGCTAACCGGAGGATTCGCTCGTGGAGGAAGAGCGCGCCCAGCCACGCACCCACCGGGTCCAGCCAAGGGAGCAGCGCTTGCAGCACCTTAACGCACGGGGCCAGGCGAGGTGACGGGGAGGGTGAGCCCCGGGCAGGACGGCGAGGAGTCCACAGCAGGCGGGCAGAGCTGTCCAGCTGCAGTCCCCACGCCAGGGTAACGCTGCTCTCCAGGCCAGCAAGGAGCAGAGACCACAAAAGGGGCTTTTCAAGCGAATGCTCCCTGGCTGCAGCGCCAGCGCAGTGCGTGGGCTATTGCAGACAAGAGCTGGCTGTGATGCCCTACGAGCGCAGTTACATTTCACACACAGGAGCTACAGAAGGGCAGCGGTCTGTATCAATACATCTATATGCATCCATACCCCCAGCTGTGCTCCGCATGCACACGCCACGTTCATTTCTGGAAGTCCACGGAGTTGTTTGGGCACAGGATGAGTGCAGACAGGGACACAAAGAGCGATTAGAGCTGGGAGAGCCCCGGTCCTCCTCGATGCAACAGGTCCCGTCAGACAGCCTGCACGGGGATAAGCCCTCCTGCCTTGGTGCAAGCTGCTCCAACCCCTCGGGCTGTCAGGCTCTGCACGGCCAACAGCCACAGTCACCACCCGTCCAGCACGTCCTCACGAAGCTGAAGCAGGATTTGTGTGGTTTTTGGGGAGGAGAGGGCAGGCAGGCTGCAAAATTAAAAACTCAAGTAATCAGCAGTGCTATTTATTAAGGACTGGTCAATTATATGGAGCGAGCTCAAGCACAGTAACAGGTCAAAGGCAGGTCTGCCTACCTGCCCTGCCCACGTGCTGCCTGCACCAGGTTTAGCAGCAGCTGCGGCTGTACCAACAAATCACCGGCGCGGACAAAATCCACGCAAACAGCTTCTCACGGCGACAACCGGCCAAGCCCCTGCTCTCAGGCTGTGCTGGGCGGCCGAGAGCTGCACCCAGGGAGTAGGTAAGCTGACCCTCCGCCGGGGCTGACGAGGAAATATCACAGGCAGATAAGGTGAGTATCAGCAGGGAAAAGCCTGAAAGACAGGTCACCGCAGGCGAGGTGTGTGCTCCAGCAGCCCATTTGCATCGAGGGAGCGTACTCCAGTATTTGCTGTCTGTCCCTATGCTCTGCACCAGCACGACAACACCTGCAAAGTACCGCTCGACTGTCCCATGATGTAAAACCAGCCTTTAAACTGAGCAAGGGAGTTGTCAAATGGATGTTGTTTCCATCCTCTCCCATACAGATCTCACATAAGCAGATTTCAAACATATTATGCAAAAAACCAAAGTGTTTTTAAGACAAGAAACAAAATGCAATAGAATCACAGATGCAAAGAGGAGACACGTTATTTGAATTTCAGAATAAAGAGCCACCTGCAATAGCTTGGGTTTGTTTGTCCAAAGATGATCTCATGGTAGTTTTAGGAAATGATAACCTTGACTGCTGGTTTCAGGGCTTCCCATCAAGAGGATGAAGCCATCATTTCAAAGTAGACACTGTGTAAAGCTATGCAGACGGCAGTAAGTCTGACTCTGGACAAGACATGGCTATAGGGCAAGGTGTTTGGCCATTTACAACATAACAGAAACCCTATTCCTTTAGATCAGGTCAAAAATCCTTCTTTCAATGTTCCAGAAAGAAGACTCCTTGTTCTCTGCGGAGGAGCTGATCTTCACCGGCTCCCAGAGCTAACCCTACAGGGGCATTCCGGCGGGACGGCGCCGAGACAAACCAACCACCACACCTCAAGCATAGGGTAGCTCTCCAGGGCTGGGAACCCAGCTAGCAGGATGCCAGGGGAGGGTGGGCCTGGGGCAAAAGGCCATCGCACCCATCGGCTCCCCGGTGCAGCCTCCCTGCTTTGCAGACTATGAGGAAGTGATAACCACCAACAGCAGATAGCCATTGCTCGGGCACCAGCCTATCTCTGTGACGTGGCGAAGTAGGTGAACAACCTTCACCTCCCCGAACCCTTCCAACACTGCACCCACTGACCGGCGCGGGAGGCACGGTCCCCAGGGACCATAGACCCCCAGCACCACCGTGACGAGCGTCCCACCGCTCTGCCAAAACCCCCGCTCCCGCCCAGCTGCCTTGATGCACTGGAAATAAAGTAACCTGAAAACAAAGCCAAACCAAGCAAAACAACCACGGTCACTACAAATACAGCAGAAACCCCTCCGGGTCCAGGCCTGACCTCTCGCTGCTCTGCAGTGCCCGACACCGGTGCCGCTCC